GTTTCTGCGCACCGACACCTCTTTGCCGCCGTTCTACATCCTCGTGTACGTCGACGACTTGGTCTTTGCCACTGCTGACACTGCTGGACTCGCCCACGTGAAGTCCGAGCTGCAGAAGAGACACACGTGCACAGACCTGGGTGAACTGCGCAGCTACCTTGGCTTGCAGATCACCCGGGACAGAGCACAGCGCACCATTACCCTGACTCAGTCACACATGGTGCAGCAGGTCCTTCAGCGCTTCGACTTCACGTACTCCTCGCCTCAGGCCACTCCTCTGTCTACTCGCCACTCGCTCTCAGCTCTGCCTTCGGATGAGTCCGTAGAGCCGAGTGGCCCGTACCCAGAGCTTGTTGGCTGCCTCATGTACCTGATGACCTGCACACGACCTGACCTAGCATACCCTCTTAGCATCTTGACACGCTATGTTGCTCCTGGGAGACACCGACCAGAGCACATGGCTGCAGCGAAGAGGGTGTTGCGCTACTTGTGCAGTACGTCGGGCATGGGGCTAGTGCTTGGAGGGCGACGTCGAGTGGTCCTCACAGGTCACGCAGACGCTTCTTGGGCTGACGACCAGGCTACGCAGTGGTCGTCACAGGGTTACACCTTCAGCCTTGGCTCCGACTCTGTTTCGTGGCGGTCTACCCGCTCGTCTTCTGTTCTCGGCTCCAGTTGTGAGGCTGAGATCTACGCGGGGGCCATGGCTGCTCAGGAGCTACGCTGGCTCACCTACCAGCTGACTGACCTAGGAGAGCCGCCTCGTTCTCCTCCAGTTCTTTACATAGACAACAAGGCCATGCTGGCCTTGTGTCGGGAGCACAGACTGGAGCACAGAACAAAGCACATTGCTCTTCGCTACTTCCTTGCTCGTGAGCTACAGCAGCGTGGTCAACTGCGCCTTGCTTACGTGGCCTCTGAGGCCAACACTGCTGATATCTGTACCAAGGCACTTACGCCTTGTGATCATCAGCGCTTCTGTACGATGCTAGGTCTTGTGCCTACTTGGCCTCACTTGCTCACTTCTTGACCTTGCTTGTACTGTGATCTTTCTATACCTGCACTTGCTTGTTTACCTTTATATATGATCTTGCATGTGAACTGGCCTTGTGGCCTTGCTCTTGTGCTCGGACTGTGTGGTGACGTTGTGATCCACCCTGAGCTTGCTTTGCTTTGCTTGACTGGTCTTGTGACCTCTTGTTCTCCCCCACTTTGCCTATGGGGGTGTGTCAAACTCATATGCTATAGTCTGTGTAGGCTGTAGTGGGGTAGACAATATGGGGTACAACACTTTTAGGTTTTCCTACTTGTACCCACCTGCTTGCTAGTTCATTCATTCCTTCCTCTTTTTTTCACAGCAACTGCTAATCCCATGTTGTCGGGTCGACGCATGTGGTACGAATCAGCTGCTTTATAGTCTGGTCCGTCCGCTCCGTCTGATCGTCGGTCGCGGGGTGGTACGACGACTGAACTGTAGCCGGGTCCCGAACTGCTCCCAGAGGTTCTTCAAGAAGTTGCTTGTAAACTTCGTGTCACGGTCGCTAATTATCGTGGTTGGTATCCCGCGCAGTCGAACGATTGTTGCGATGAACACGCAGCGAAGTGAGCCATGTTCGCCGGGCGGTCAACGACAACCATAACTGTGTCCTTACCCCAGGGACTCGAAGGTAACCCCGTGACGAAGTCCATGGTATCCTGTTGCCAGACTCGCTTAGGCGGTGGAATCGGTTGCAATTGACCCGCCTTTTTCTTTCGCGCGCTTTTCATCACCTGACACGTGGGGCACGATCCCGCGTGGTGTTATACGTCGGTCAGCAGCTCCGGCCAGTAGTAATACCGCTGCAGTTGCTGTCGCGTTTTTTCTACCCCGAAATGACCCGAGATAACCCCGTCGAGTGCCTCGTGCAGTCATAATTCCCGTAGTAGTGAATACGCTAGTTGTGAGGATCTAGGATCGAGCTCAGAAAAGAGAATTGTAATTGAATGATCACCTGGGTACAACACGAGGCTATATATAGGCTCGACACAAGGCCCAGTAACCAGGTGTTACGCGAAGGTTCCGCGGGTCGCGAAGCGTCCCGAACAGATCCTCCCGAATTCGATAGAAGGCAATTCGGTGGCAACCGAAAAGCCTGAATTCGGTGCACGCAACCTAGCTCGGTGCTATAACTATAATAAAATATAGGAAAGCACCTAGCCTAGGAAATCAAGCAATTCATGCATGCATATAATTATCCTATGCTAGAAATAGCATGATAAAGTAAAGGCAAGCAAGCATAGTTGGCATAAGCCGTCGTACTCTCACACTGGTACCCAGACGCGGTTGGTGCCTGGTTTTACGTAATAGCCTCCTTTTGCTTCTGTCAGCTGCTGCGGATTTCCAGTTGTGAAAAATGGGTCGGTGCGGTATTCGTGGGAAAATAGGCCTGTTAATAGGGGGTTGGTTTGGGCAAGTAGGATGGCGTGAAGTTGGGCAGTGGGGTGGGTGAGAGCATCGGCGATGTTGGATGCTCCTTTTCTATACGTGACGATGTAGCGGAAGTTCTATAATCCAACCAGTAAATGTGTTCCGGATTGAGATTAGGTTGGGCGCGAAGGTACTGTAGTGATCGGTGGTCTGTCCATACTATCAAGTCGATACTTGTGAGGTAGCACTGCCATACCTTCAACGCGTGCACGATCGCCAGCATCTTACGGTCGTGTATCGGGTAGTTGCGTTCGAGCGGATGAAGCTTGCGGGACTCAACGTGATAGGTTGAAAGCCGTTCCCAAAGTCTTGCAACAGTACTGCACCCACAGCGATGTCGCTTGCATCGGTGATCAGTTCGAACGGGCGGTGTGGATCAGCGATGTGCAGTACGGGCGGCGAGCACAAAATTTTGTCGAGGGCCGAGAAGGCAGCTTGCTCTTTCTCCCCCTACATGTACTCAAACCCCTTCTTCAGCAGATCAGTCATTGGGGCATTCAACTGCGCCATGTCGTGGACGGACCGTCGCACGTAGTCGAAGAACCCTAGAAAACCCTGCAGCTCAGTCAGATTTGTTGGCGCGTGCCATGCTTGATCGTCACATTGGGTCTATTTCCACTCCATCAGCTGAAATAATATGCCCTAAAAACTTCAGTATGACATGTAAAGACTCACACTTAGAGGCTTTGGCGAGTAGGCTGTTCTCACTCAATATTTCAAAACTGCCTCGATGTCCTTCAGGTGTTGTGCTCTATCCGGGCTATAAATCAGTATATCGTCTAAGTAGACGATCACGCACCTATCTAACAGCGGACGGAATGCATCGTTCATGATCATTTGAAAAATGGCAGGGGCGTTGGTCAGTCCAAAGGGCATGACCGTGTATTCGAATGATTTGTAGCGGGTGCAGAAGGCGGTTTTTGGGCAGTCGGGCGGATTGACTCGGGTTTGGTGGTAACTTCATCGAAGGTCGATTTTCGAGAAGACTCGGGCTGTTCGAAGCTGGTCTATCAGTTCGTTGGCTCGCGGGATGGGGTAACGGGACCTGATAGTAACTCTGTTCAATGCGCGGTAATCTATGCACATGCAAAACCCCCCTTCCTTTTTCAGTGCGAACAGTATCGGTGCGCCGAAGGGCGACGAACTCGGGCGAATGGTTTTTTTCTCGAGCAAGTAATCCAGCTGCTTCCGCAGTTCGTCCAGTTCGGGTTGGGTCAGTCGAAATTGTCGCTATACTGTCGGCTGTGCCCCCAGTACTAGTTCTATCCTGTATTCCTGCGGTCGATGGGTGGTAGTCCTTCCAATAAGTCATCCGAAAATATCCCGCTGTGCTGCTCCAGTAGCGCTGCCAGGTCGTTCGGTACGTCGGCGAGCAGTTCATACAAAAATCTCGATGTGTCTGCTGTCAAACTTATATGATCTAGCCTGTGTAGGCTGTAGCGGGTTAGATACTAAGGGGTACACAATTCTAGGGTTTCATATTTGTATCACTTTCATTCCTTAGTCAACTCATTCTCGTTCTAAGTTTCTCATGGTATCGAGCAGGTTCCCTCGTGGGAACTGTTCCTAGGGCCCACCAATTTTTTTTTTTCCTACCCGGGGCGCGTGCCGCCCCTGCCCGAAGCGCGCCTAGTGTCCCGCCCTTAGCGACCCGTCACGCCCTTCTTAGCGGCCCCTCAGGCCCCGTCGCTGCCCTCTCTAGGCCCCGCGTGGCCCCTTAGCGGCCCCGTCGCCGCCCCTTACGGCCCCGCGACCGCCTCTTACGGCCCCGCGACCGCGCCTTACGGCCCAGTCGCCGCCCCTCACGGCCCCGCGACCGCCCCTTACGGCCCCGTCTCCGCCCCTCACGGCCCAGCAACCGCCCCTTACGGCCCCGTCGCCGCCCCTTAAGGCCCCGTCGCCGCCCCTTACGGCCCCGTCGCCGCCCCTTACGGCCCCGTCGCCGCCTCTTTCGGCCCCGTCGCCGCCGAGCCGCGACCCCGTAGCCGCCCTTAGCGGCCCCGTCGCCGTCCCCCCTCCCCTCGGCCTAGTCGCCGCCCTTCAGCGGCCACGTCGCCGCCCCTCCGCCGCCCCGACGCCGCCCTTCAGCGGCCCCGTCGCCGCCCCTCAGCGGCCTTGTCGCCGCCCTTCAGCGGCCTCGTTGCCGCCCCTTGCGGCCCCGTCGCCGCCCTTCGCGGCCCCTCAGCCGCCCTTCCCGGCCCCGTCGAGCAGCCGAGCCGCCGTCACCGCCGAGCCGCCGAGCCGCCCTTGCCGCCGTGCCGCCGAGCTGCCGAGCCACTGAGCCGCCGAGCTGCCGAGCCGCCGAGCTGCCGAGCCGCCGAGCCGCCGAGCCGACCTGCAGCCGAGCCGCCGAGCCGCCGAGCCGCCGAGCCGCCGAGCCGCCACGCCGCCGCAGCCGAGACGCCGCAGTCCCTGCAGTCGCGGCCCTGTCCCTGCCGGCCTGCCTCGGCCCGCCCCACCTGCCTGGTAAGAGCAGCGCCTCTGCCACTGCACTGCCCTACCCCGCTGCTCTCTCTGCCAGTCTACTACTGTCATGGCCACCCCCAGTGTTCTCACCTTTGACGCTGAGGGTCGGGCTGTTGACTTTGAGGTCTGGGTAGATGATCTGCAGCTTTTCCTACACTGCGATAGGGCAGACGGTCTCTCTCTGTTTGACCTCACCTCTGGTGCCTCTCCTGCCCCTGCTGCTGATGCTGACGCCACTGTTCGCTCACAGTGGGCCACGCGCGATGCTGTTGCTCGCCTTGCTGTGCGCCGCCACTTACCGACCGCTGAGCGCGCGCATTTTAGTCAGTACAAGAGTGCTAAGACCTTGTACGACGCTGTCGTTGCACGCTACTCTTCCCCTGCCACTGCTGCCCTTAGCCGCCTCATACTGCCGTACCTCTTCCCTGACCTCGCCGCTTTTCCCACAGTCGCTGACCTCATTACGCACCTTCGCACTAGTGACATTCGCTACCGCGCTGCGCTTCCTGCTGAGTTCTGCGCCAAGAACCCCCCCCCTATGTACATCACCCTCTACTACATAGTCACCCGGCTCCCTGACACCCTTCGCTCGGTCAGGGACCACTTCCTCTCTGTTTGCCCCACCACCCTCACCGTTGACCTCCTCGAGGAGCGCCTCCTAGCAGCAGAAAAGAGTTTAGTCGCTGTAGGAGCCTCTCGTGGTGACCCTCGTACCCCTGTCTTTGAGGGGTGCTCCCCCTCCCCCCTCTTGCCCTCTGTTGCCTCTGCTGCTGCGGCCGACCTCGTTGGTCTTGAGTCGGTCGGCGCGGCGTCTGCCCCTAGCGGGAGACGCCGCTCAGGCAAGGGCAAGGGGGGCAAGGGCGCTGGAGGAGCTGGCGGGGGCGGTGGAGGCGGCGGTGGAGGCGGCGGAGGGGGTGGGGGTGGCGGTGGGAGTGGTGGCGGGAGTGGGGGCACTAGTGGCGGCAGTGGAGGCGGAGGAGGCGGCGGTGGTGGCGGTGCGAGCGGAGGTGGTGGAGGTGGAGGCGGTGGTGGAGGTAGCGGCGGCGGAGGTGGAGCTGGTCGGGGCGGCTCTTCGCAGAGGGTCGGCTCCGGTGGTGGTCAGCGCCAGCAGCAGCAGCAGCAGCGCACTCGTGAGACCCCTTCCCCCCAGCAGCTTCGTGAGTGGTACACTGCTCGTCAGCGGGGTGGGGGTGCTGGCCCCTGTACCTACGTTCTACGTACAGGCGACCGCACGGGTGAGCAGTGTGGGGGTCCGCACTCCACCCAGCGCTGCTTCGGCCGCCTAACGGACGCTTGGCGTCATCAGTTCCCCGACGCTACTGAGATCCCTCGCTGGGGCGAGCTGTTTAGGGCGGGTGTTGCGATCTTTGATCTTGATTATGATGCTATTCTTGCTGCGCCGCTTACGCCGCTTAGTCGGCCAGTGGCAGTCGCTCTGGCAGACCCCTCTGGGGGCCCTGTCCTTGCCCACTTCTCCACTGTTCTACCGTGTCCGGCGGCCCCTTCTGGCACCCTGTCGGGTCTTTACCTCCCCTCGTTCTCTACGAACTTGGTGAGTGGTGCTGACCTCCAGGATGGAGGGGTTCACCAGTTCACTCCTGCGAGTCAGCGAGTGACCCACTGTACCTGTGCTCGGACGGGCCGTCACTTGGCCACGTTTACCCGTCAGCCGGGGTCGAGCCTGTACACACTGACTACTGAGTCTCCTCCGGTCGCTGAGTCTGCTCAGGTAGCCGCGTCGGGTCAGGTGTTTGCTGCGGCGTCCAGGTCTGGTCCTGAGTCTGCCCCCTGCTCGTGTCGTCTCCTGTCTCACCAGACTCTCCTCTGGCACCACCGCCTTGGTCACCCCTCCCTGCCTCGTCTTCGAGGCATGGCCTCCCGTGTCCTTGTCTCTGGTCCCCCCCGGTCCCTCCCTCCCCTTCCTCCGGGGCCTGCCCCTACCTGTGTTCCCTGCGTCGAGGGGCGGCAGCGCGCTGCTCCTCACTCCTCCGAGTTTCCTCCGACAGAGGCTCCACTGCAGACGCTTCACATGGACGTGTGGGGCCCAGCCCGCGTCCGTGGACAGGGTCACGAGCGTTACTTCCTGCTGGTGGTTGACGACTACTCGCGTTACACCGCAGTCTTCCCCTTGCGCAGCAAGGGTGAGGTCACTGAAGTGTTGATCGCCTGGATCCGCGCAGCTCGTCTCCAGCTCAGAGAGAGTTTCGGCTCGGACTTTCCTGTTCTGCGTCTGCACTCTGACAGAGGCGGAGAGTTCTCCTCTGACCTTCTGCGAGCCTTCTGTCTTGCACGAGGCATCCGCCAGATCTTCACGCTTCCGGACTCTCCGCAGCAAAATGGGATTGCTGAGCGCCGCATTGGCATGGTCATGGACGTCGCTCGTACGTCCATGGTCCATGCGGCTGCCCCCCATTTTCTGTGGCCGTTTGCGGTTTGGTACGCGGCGCATCAGATCAACCTTCAGCCCCGGGTCTCCATGCCGAAGACCTCCCCTGCTTTGCTGTGGACGGGGAAGGTTGGCGATGCGTCTGCGTTCCGTGTCTGGGGATCTCGGGCGTTTGTCCGCGACTTGTCTGCGGACAAGCTGTCCCCTCGTGCTGTTCCCTGCGTCTTCCTTGGCTTCCCCCCTGACGTGCCGGGCTGGCAGTTCTACCACCCCACCTCGCGCCGTGTTCTGTCCTCCCAGGACGTCACGTTTGACGAGTCGGTTCCCTACTACCGTCTCTTCCCCTACCGCACTGCGTCCCTCCCCCCCCCGCCGCTCTTCCTTACGCCAGGTCCCCCTCCGGTAGACCCCCTCCCCCCTCAGGGTCCTGCCCCCTCAGGTGTGTCTCAGGTAGACGCAGTCGACCCTGTCGAGGTAGCTGTTGACTCTGGTGCTGCTAGGGGTGCTGAGCCTCTGGGTGCTGGGTCTGGGGGTGCTGACTCTGGGGGTGCTGAGCCTGGGGGTGCTGACTCTGGGGGTGCTGCGCCTGGGGGTGCTGACTCTGGGGGTGTTGCGCTTGGGGGTGCTGAGCCTGGGGGTGCTACGCCTGGGGGTGCTGCGTCTGGGGGTGCTGAGCCTGGGGGTGCTGCGTCTGGGGGTGCGGAGTCTGAAGGTACTGGACCTGCTCGTGTGGCGTCTGGCGGTGCTGGGCCTGGAGGTTCTTCGGGTGCTTCGTCCCGGCGGGAGCTCCTCTCTCCACAGGAGCTGCGTGAGTGGTTTGCCCGGCGTTGGAGGCGAGCTGCTGGAGCTGGAGGTGCTGCGGGTGCTAAAGGTTCTGCTACTGCTGAGGGTGCTGGTGCCGCGGGTCCCGGAGGTGCTCGTACCGGGAGTACTGGAGCTGCTGGGCCTGCAGGTGCTTCTCGTACTGGAGCTGGTGGTGCTGCGGGCGTCGGTGCTACTGAGGGTGCTGGAGCTGGACCCGCTGCGTCTTCTGGTGGTCCGGCTGGAGCTGGAGCTGCTGGGGGTGTTGGCGCTGAGGGTGCCTCTGGTGCTGATGCCTCTGAGGGTACTGGAGTTGGCACTGCTGGAGCTGGGGGTGCTGCTGGCGCTGGTGCTGTCGTTCGGGGTGCTGGTGCTTGTCCCTTCTGGTGCTGGTGGTGCTGAGTGGACGGGGCCGTACTTCGTTCCGCTCCTTGAGCAGGTTCTTGGTCTTCCGCCCTCTGCTAGTCGGGCTCCTCCCTTAGAGTGTCCACCGCCTGTCCAGTCCGAGTCACAGTTACAGCCTACCTCTCCTCTGCCTGCTCCTTCTCCCTACACTGGTCCTACTGGAGGTCTTGCTGAGCGTCGTGAGCCTGCGTCTCGTCCTGCGTCGCCTGTCCGTGCTGCTCGCACTAGTAGTCGTGGTTCGCGTCAGCGTCCTCCCCCTGTCCCCGACACGCACCGGATGTCTCTGCGTCCCTCCACTGCTCCGCTGCGTGCCCCTTTGCCTTCTCCTCCTGAGTCCTCTCTTCCTGTTCTTGCTGACCCGGAGTCGGACTCCCTTCGTGCTGCCAGTCCTACTGTCACGCGTCTCCTTGCTACTGTCGTCACTGACCCTTCCTTTGAGTCCGCTGCTGCGTCTGCCTTAGTTTCTGAGCTTGTCGACTTCGCTGCTCGCTGTCGCCTAGACTACGCTGCTAGTCTTGTCGCTGAGTCTGAGTCTGTCTGTCCTCCGTCCGTCGGGGGTGAGTGTGCCCTTGGCACGGACGTCCTTGAGGACAGGCAGGAGGAGTTCCAGTGCTTTGCTGCTGCTTCACCTCATCTAGTGTCCATGCTGCTTGCCCCTGAGGGAGACCCGGATGCACCAGACATCCCGACTCTGCGCTCTTACGCGGAGGCGATAAAGGGTCCCTACTCCTCACAGTGGCAGGCAGCCATGGATGCAGAGATGGCTTCCTGGAAGTCCACAGGCACCTACGTCGACGAGGTTCCCCCTCTTGGGGCGAACATCGTCAGTGGCATGTGGATTTTCAGGGTGAAGCGGCCGCCGGGTTCTCCGCCTGTCTTCAAGGCGCGCTACGTGGCTCGTGGCTTCAGTCAGCGGCAGGGAGTTCACTACTTTCAGACCTTCTCTCCCACCCCAAAGATGACCACTCTTCGGGTACTGCTGCACATAGCCACTCACCGTGACTACGAGCTTCACTCTCTTGACTTCAGCACTGCTTTCTTGCAGGGCAGCCTGCACGAGGAGATCTGGCTGCGCCGCCCACCTGGCTTCACTGGGTCTCTTCCTCCTGGTACCCAGTGGAGCCTCCGGCGGCCAGTCTACGGTCTCCGCCAGGCACCTCGTGAGTGGCACGACACACTGAGGACTACACTTGCGGCTCTTGGGTTTGCTCCTTCTACTGCCGACCCATCGCTGTTTCTGCGCACCGACACTTCTTTGCCGCCGTTCTACATCCTCGTGTACGTCGACAACTTGGTCTTTGCCACAGCTGACACTGCTGGACTCGCCCACGTGAAGTCTGAGCTGCAGAAGAGACACACGTGCACAGACCTGGGTGAACTGCGCAGCTACCTTGGCTTGCAGATCACCCGGGACAGAGCACAGCGCACCATTACCCTGACTCAGTCACACATGGTGCAGCAGGTCCTTCAGCGCTTCGGCTTCACGTACTCCTCGCCTTAGGCCACTCCTCTGTCTACTCGCCACTCGCTCTCAGCTCTGCCTTCGGATGAGTCCGTAGAGTCGAGTGGCCTGTATCCAGAGCTTGTTGGCTGCCTCATGTACCTGATGACCTGCACTCGACCTGACCTTGCATACCCTCTTAGCATTCTGGCACGCTATGTTGCTCCTAGGAGACACAGACCAGAGCACATGGCTGCAGCGAAGAGGGTGTTGCGCTACTTGTGCAGTACGTCGGGCATGGGGCTTGTGCTTGGAGGGCGGAGTCCAGTGGTCCTCACAGGTCACGCAGACGCTTCTTGGGCTGACGACCAGGCTACGCAGCGGTCGTCACAGGGTTACACCTTCAGCCTTGGTTCCGGCTCTGTTTCGTGGCGGTCTACCCGCTCGTCTTCTGTTCTCGGCTCCAGTTGTGAGGCTGAGATCTACGCAGGGGCCATGGCTGCACAGGAGCTACGCTGGCTCACCTACCTGCTGACTGACCTAGGAGAGCCGCCTCGTTCTCCTCCAGTTCTGTACGTAGACAACAAGGCTATGCTGGCCTTGTGTCGGGAGCACAGACTGGAGCACAGAACGAAGCACATCGCTCTTCGCTACTTCCTTGCTCGTGAGCTTCAGCAGCGTGGTCAACTGCGCCTTGCTTACGTGGCCTCTGAGGCCAACACTGCTGATATCTTCACCAAGGCACTTGCGCCTTGTGACCATCAGCGCTTCTGTACTCTGTTAGGTCTTGTACCTACCTTGCCTCACTTGCTCATTTCTTGACCTTGCTTGTACTGTTACATATATATATACCTGCTCTTGCTTGTTTAGCGTTATATATATGTGTGTACTCATGCATGTGAACTGGCCTTGTGGCCTTGAACTTGTGCTCAGAATGTGTGGTGACGTTGTGATCCACCCTGAGCTTGCTTTGCCTTGCTTTGCTTGACTGGTCTTGTGACCCCTTGTTCTCCCCCACTTTGCCTATGGGGGTGTGTCAAACTTATATGATCTAGCCTGTGTAGGCTGTAGCGGGTTAGATGCTAAGGGGTACACAATTCTAGGGTTTCATATTTGCATCACTTTCATTCCTTAGTCAACTCATTCTCGTTCTAAGTTTCTCATCTGCTGCCTCGGCTTCTCGAATGTCAACCGCATAAACGCCAGCTCCTGCCGGAACGGCGCGTTTCATCGTGATCGACGCACCGACGAAGACTCAAGCGAGCTCCAGCGAGGTAAGGCGATGTTGTTACCGTTCACCCGCACGGTGCAGTCACCCGTCCTCCAGTCGATTCGCAGATTGTGTCGTCGCAACCAATCACGACCAAGCAAATAATCGGTCCCGTCGTGGGTCGTCGCCAACATTTCGTAGGTGAATGTGAAGTTACCCACGCATCGGATTCGAACTCGGTCAACGCGTTCCCGCATCGCCAGTGGCGTGCCGCCGATTTCAGGTAAGCAGTCTTCCAATGTCAGTTCCAGTCTCCGTGCAGTTGTGATGTTGACAGGCTGTGGCTAGCCCCCTTGTCTAGGAAGATTTTAACTAAGACTATCAGTATTTTCCTGCTAAGCAGTATGGGACTATCTACCGTAGTACCCTCCTTGTTCGGCCTTGTGTGGTCGATTGCGTGAACCGGCACGATCACTCGGTGAGGGTCGGTTGGGTTGGGTGAGCGGCATAACCTGTCAGTAGTGGGCCCGTCTGCTACTTACTCCCAACGTTTCCCTGCTGCTCAGCTTTCCCCTTTCTCTTAGCGTTATTCGGTGCCCCGGCCTGTTGCACACGAAGCAGCATTAGTTGAACGGTGCGGTAATGGCAATCGCAGCGACGACGTGTATCGTGGCGTGCTCGTTCGTTCCACAAGCTCGGTTTCCCCAGCTGCTACTGTTGTAGTAGGACCCCGGTCTCGGCTGGCGTAGAAAATCGAGTTTCTCCGCCATAGAGAGAATCTCATTAAATTCGGTGACGTTGCGGAGCAGGATTTCTTGGGCGATGCTGTTTTTCATGACGCCGACATAGCGGTCAATACGTTCCACCTCGTGCATGAACTACGGAAGCAGCTGGATTACTGTGAAGGCGCCGGTGCTTTTATCTGGAGCCATGCGCTTATGGCCGGTCCTCAATTATAAGCGCAGCCCTTAGAATCCCTGTACTTATTATAAGCGCATCCCTTCCCCCCAGGGTTCATCTTTTCACTAATTTTTAATATATACATGATTAAAGTGACAACATGAAATCTACACATGCCTCTCTTCCAATATTCTCACTACACATTAAGAAGTTTTATATTCCTAGCTAGAATCTACTCGTCGCCTGACTCTGGCCCCTCGAAGTTGTTGCCAAAGAATCCGTTGGCGATGATCTCATCATCGACGTCGACCTCGTGGGTCAGCTGGCTCCGCCTGTGCGCCATGGCGAGGCCGTCCTCACTGCCGTCAAGCGTGTTGCTGATGCTGCAGGTGAGGGCGCCTTCTTGATAAGCTCAGGTGGCACAGCTCTCCAGGCCCGTGAGATCCGCCTGAGCACCACTGCAGGGGGTGGCTTCTTAATGTTCCCTGCACCACAAGTCAGAGTAAGGGAGATGCCGTTAGAACAACATACGAGGGAAATCAAGCCGCTCTCAAACAAGCAATGGTGGGTGTCTTACCTGCAGGCGTCAGCCACTCCTGGCCCTCCTCTTCAAACCAGCTTTGGTACTGCTGGCGGATGGAGGCTTTAAAGGATTTGTTGATTGAAATGTCGAGGGGCTGTACCTCCACCGTACAGTCCGACGGGATCACCGCCGGCACGATGTCTAAGTCGGCAAACTTCTCCGTCACGGCGTCGGTGAGGTGCCCGCGGTAAGAATCCATAATGACCATGGCGCTCCTCGTCTGCCCGCCAAACCGGGGCCGGATGAAGGGCTTGATGCACTCGTTGAGCAAGCGCATGAAGCCGTCGACGTCCATCCAGCCGTTTGGGTGGACCACCACGACCGCATCTGCCATACCAAACGCAGTAAACAACTGCGCTAGTTATGTTAACGGGAATGGAATGTTCACAATGAAGAAGTTGCTTGACGGGCTTCGTCGAGCTACAGGGATCACTGTGGTTTTGTCGACGACCAGAGGTGCTCGATGGCCTTCTTCTGTGGGGCAGGTCGACGAGGTGGTTGTCCACCTGCACAAGACTGTGACGGGGCTAGAGTCGTCGACCAGAGAGCTCGACAACTGCAGCTGACTGGGCTGGTCGACAGGTGGGCCGTCGACTAGGACGAGTAGTTCGACGGAGAGGTCGATGGAGCAGTCCGTCGACCTGACATGTGAAAGGCAGTCGACGAGGGGAGCTCGGCGTCAGCAGCCGATAGTGCTGGTCGACGGAGGGGTCCGTCGACCAGGGTGTTGCACGGGAGCTGTGGACGACCAGAGGCACTTGGTGGTCGACCAGAGCACTTGGTGGTCGACCAGAGGCACTTGGTGGTCGAGGTCGCGTTGACAAAGGCGACTTTGGGCTGGTATCACGAAGTCGATGTGGCTCATCCGGCGCAGACCACAGCCAACAGTCGGTCCAATTGTCTTCGCGCACCTGCGTACATGCGCATTGTTGTCCTCTACGGGTGCAACGCTGGTCAACCGCTATGCTGCAGTGTTGGCACGCCGTCGACCTGCTGTGTTGGCAGCTCGCGTTTCTGCAGTGCTGGCGCGACTCCTCTACGCAACGCTGGCAGGCGGTCAACCATGCTGTGCTGGCGATCGACCAGGCTAGCTGCAGAGTTGCTAGGTGTCTGATATAGTCATTCTTGTGGTTGTGATGTCCATCATTCTGTAATACAATCTTTGCCTAGTGCAACTCTTGCCGATTTCTCCCGTAAATGCGCAAGCGCTAAGGAACTAAGCAAAGCTACAACCACTCCTAGTAGTTCGTGCCAACCCCTCCCCGTAGTCTAGCTCACTACCTTGTAAAGTGAATCTCCGCATGGTGTGGTGAGTGTGGATCAAACGCGCGACTTTCAGATAGGAGCCAACCTTTGCACCTACTAAGTCGTTCGTAGGCCGAGAGCCGCGTTAGTCGCCATGGTTGACCTCGTAGCTGATGCGGGAGTAGCGGACACCTTGGAGGCACGTTTGGCTGATGCACAGAAACTCACTGAGGATGGCGGGTACGGGAAGATCCCCTGGGCAATCGTCGAGTTTGGCATCCAGGCGCAGTAGGCGACGGAGCACCCTTCCCGTCCTGCATCTCCTCGACCGGTACGAAACGAAGGTGGCGTCGACGACAAGGTCAACGGCGGTGCACGAGTCAGCGCCAACGATGGCACGGAGCAGAGAGGGATGATCAAGGTCGACGGTGGCGTCGACAGGAGTCAGGCGCGAGTGCAACGGTCGACGACG